GATAAAAAGCATTCTTCATACTGTCAGGCAACTAGGACCCATCCATCAGCATTCAGTCTCACACCTTCAACCAGTGTATTCGGCGGGCTTAAGGGACTAAGCCCGCCGCCTCCCCGTTTTTTGCCCCATCTGTGGCCATGTTATCCTCCTCTTGATCTTTCTCTGCCTGAAACTCCCAGATCTTCCTTCTCTTGGAAGCTTCTTCCTTTGGCATCCCACCTTCTTGTGTGAAGATCTGGGCCGAGTCTACCCGTGCCTCCTTTTCTGGATCCGCCCCCGTTCTGCCAGAGCTCGATGAACCCTCCAGGAGCCTACCTTGCCCTCTTGTAGGGCTGGTCTTCACCCCGCTTCCTGCTCTAAGATAGGATCCATATCTTTTTTCCAAGACTAAATCTTCTTCATAATTCAAGGGGCAAAAATTATCTGAATGACCAACCATACCACAGATAAAACAAAAGGTGGGTAGTATCTGAATGACCAAAAACTTTTGCCATCTTTTTTCAAATTTGTCCCCTTCTTCAATGGTTTGTCCATCTTCATAACAACCCTAACTCGCATATAATTCTCAAGTTTATCTTTCCTTTGATGATCAACATATTTAACAAATTCCCCTAAAAAGCTCCCAACCCGTCTAGCAGTACCCAGATTTACTAGACTGTAAGGAACATTATGAATCTGGACCCAGAATTCCGCCTCATTCAGAACAATTTTATGTGGCATATCATCAGACATAATCTCTTTAAGCAAGATCAAACTACGATCAAACTGCCAAGGACCCCATCCAAAACCCTTTTCATATCAAAACAATGATTAAAAGAAAACAGATACCTCTTTTCTCCAATTTCCTTAACTGTCATGCCTTTCCCGGGCCTCCAGAGAGCAAGTAGCTTTTCTTTGATCTCCACGAACCGGACCTGTCGATCGGTCAACACCTGCCCCAAGAACTGAGAAACCCACAGCCGCCTCCTCCGCCGGGACATCGTCGGCCTCGCCATCATCGAGATTGATCTCCTCCTCTTCACCTCCGATCGCCATCCGCTTATACCTATCAACAACACTTTCCATAGATGAGGCCTGCTCCGTCGCCTGCTATTACCGAAACCTCCAAGTAAAATTGCCACATCCCACCGCCTTCACGCCCAATCCCCGTTACCGCCCCTCACCGCCCAAACTAACTAATGGCAAAACTCGCACTTCGATAAACGAAGGCGGACAAAACTCAACATATGTAGGGTTATCACTCACCTGCTTATAAAACAAGAAGTTTACGTATTTTTTTTATTTTATCAAAATCAATGAGGGCTAGTTTTGCGATAAAATAATGTGACTGTAGTCTGTTCAGATAAATCAAGTTATAGAGCCCGTTTGATAACACTAAATTGGCTGGATTGGCCGATTCAGCTGAAAATTATGAAGTTAAGGTTGAAGTGGCTGCATTGGCTGATTCTGCTGATTCATGAAAAAATTACATTTAAAATATGTGTTATTAACAAATTAAATAAAAAATTATATGAAAAATAGCTAAAATGATCCTCTACAGTAACTTCAGCCAATACAGCCAGGAAAGTAACTTCAACCTTACTTTTTCTGTTTTTTTTTTTACAAAATTTAGCGTGCGAAATCAAAAGTTACGTATTTGGTGGAAAAGCTGGCTAATAAGCCTGATAAGCCGAAAAAAGGGTCACCATACAGGCTCATAGTCTCAGTTTTAATTATTTATTCTCAACTTCAATTCTAGGAATTTTTACAAAAACAAAGAGAGGCCTCTCAATTGGGTTTTAATTTGACAAGAATGATTTTTCCTCTACATGTGCTACTATAAAGTGACATTAGTTAGGATGTTTTCTTTTGGACTGTTTTCAGTCCCAGACCAGACTTAAACAAATCAGACTAGATCAGATCAGATCAGATTTACATAGTTATAAAATACACACAGACCAGACCTTTAATAGACCAGTTCAGACTAGACCAGAACAAACCGGACTTAAACAGACCAGAACAGCAAATTTCAGTCCAAAAGAAATAACAACATCAACATCGGTGATAATTAGTTTATGCTCTTATTTTTATACCAATTAGTTATAGTATTATTATTTTTTGCAATAGCCCATTATGGCGCTTTATATAGGCTATGTTTGGGAGGCATAAGTCTTTGCCTTCTTGCGTTTTGTATTATTTAAAAAGTCCCCAAAAACATACAGGTATATGTTTGGTTCGACATGTTTTGAGAGTTTTTCAAAGAATAAAATATATTTTTTAGATGCTACAGGGAGTATCGTCTGAGAAAAGTATGTTGCTTTTAACATTAATTATTGTCAACAACTTGTATACTAAACAGAACTAAACCAAACAACCTGAGAAAAGTATGTTGCTTTTAACATTAACTATTGTCAACAACTTGTATACCAAACAGAACTAAACCAAACAACCCGCTTTTTACCAAAGACCTATCACCTTTTACTTTTAAGATCTTTTCAGTCAATAAAAGCTAACAGTTATTAAAAAGCGTGTAAAAATATCTTTTCAGCTAGTTGTGACAAACATACCCCATGAGCTATGTTTGGCCTGATTAGCTGAAAAAATCTTTTTTAGAAATTTTAGCAACTGCATGTTAGCTTTTTTGAGCTGAAAAATTTGTAGATGAAAATGACTGTTGTTGTTTCATAAAAGCTACGTGTTTTAAATAGTCATGTTTGACAAAACTAACTGTTGTAAGTAAGTGAAATGATAAAATTACAATTAAGGGCATTATGCCATTATCAAATACCATTAACTAATAAAATAATTTTTTAAAACAAGATAAATAATCTTTTTTGATCGTACAAGATAAAATAATGTTAGTACACATAAAAATGCAAATCGATTTAACATAGATATTTTCAAAAATATTCATTATATATCCAATCATTTCACAATTTTTACCAAAATATGTAGTTCATCATGGAATACAATAATAATTAAATATGAAATAGAGTTTGCTTATACAAGTGTCATTCTCATATATTAATGATCATTGATCACCACTCCAAATTAAATTTGCAATAGTATTGCGACCCTCCTTCATCTCACAAAAGGGATTTTCACTTGAATATTACTAAGCTAAGAGCCCGTTTGGTAGCACGAAAATAGGATGTTTTGGCTGATTCTGCTGAAATTTCTGAAGTTCTGGCTGAAGTGGCTGCATTGGCTGATTCTGCTGATTTAAGAAACAATTATTTTTAAAATATATTTTATTAATAAATAAAGAAAAAATATATGTAAAAATAGCTAAAATAGTCCTCTACGGTAACTTCAGCCAAAACAGCCAGAAAAGTAACTTTAACCTTACTTTTTCTGCTTATTACACAACTCAGCGCGCGTAAGTAAAAGTTACGTGTTTGGTGAAATAGTTGGCTGATAAGCCTGATAAGCCGAAAAACAGTGTTGCTAAACGGCCTCTAAATATAAATTTAAAAAATGTGATCATATTACGTCTGGACAAAAGAGTGACTACAATAGTTACATATGTGGAAAAATATAAAATGACTGCCCAAATATTTATGTCACCACTCTATTTTCAAGTCACTGTCGTAAGCCATTGCCGCCAACGCCCGTGTGACTTTCAGCGCCAATGCCTGTGTCACTACAGTCGCCATTGCTTGTGTCATTGCCACCGCGGTCTGTCACTGCCGCCGTCATATATAGTGACACCTCCGCAGTGACATCTCTGTCCCAACCTCTAGCCACAATGACATCTCTGCCACCGGCCATTGCGGACGACCACAATCACGTGTCAGCTATGACAACTCCACCGTGACACACAGTTATTCGAGCCACAGTTATTCCGGCCACCACCATTGTTGCTTCACCCCATACACCCACTTCAACCGCCCAACCCATCCTAACACCCAACACCAGAAAACCCCTGCCACAGCCCCTGCCAAAGTGCCACCTCTAGCCACGCCCCCCGATCTGCCCCCAACCACCTCCAAGCTTCTCTGACTCCATAACCATAACTATTGCCCAAGTCACCAGAGACCTCTCCAGTGCGTGGGAGGCCTCCCAGCCTCAGCCCCGACGTAGCCCCCCAGCCACTACATGCAACAACGGTTCCATCGAAGACAGATATGGGCAAAAAACGACAATCCAACAGAGAGGGCAGATGTGACGCAGATAGACGAGCCGGTCCCATTCTAACCCTCCCCCAGCCCCTCCATCTCGCTCGAATTCACTCAGATTTGCCCGTTACCATCGGATTCGCCCCCAGATCTTCTCCCTCCGCACTCAGTTGTTGGGAATCAGCGTTATCCGCACAGCCAGACAGAAAGGTGCCGGGAGAGAAAAAGGGGCTACTCGGATGGCGGTGCGACTGTGAGGTCCGGTGGCGGTGGCCGCGACGTACTTCGACGATTGCAGGCGTAGGGGAGATGTTCATAGGCGAGTGACGATAAGTGCGAGGCGTCGAGGAATGAAGCTCCACTAATCGGAGATCAGGGAGTGAGGTTGTTTGATTCCAAGCGGTCACTTTTTTGTCTAAACCTAAATTAGTCATATTTTTGTCAACCGGAACTCTAAGAGTAATATTTGCGCCATTGTTTCAAAACCAAATTTGTATAATTAAATCTAACTTCTTATAATTTGGTATAATATTTTCAATTTGAAACAAACGGACTAATTTGTTGTAAAAGTTATCTTATTTGCAACGAAAAAAAGATGACACATTCCCTAAATAAGAGTAATACGTTTTAGAATTTCAAAATATGGACTCCTATATTTGTATTCTTTAAATAAAGGTAAATACTGTCAAGTTTTAAAAATATTGTTATATTTAACGTCCGGTACTGTCAAAATACGGGAGTAGTTACTCACATATTGGAAATAAAAATGTGACAATGCTATTTTGGAATAAAAATATGACAATTTCTCAAATATATTGAGGTTGAAACATGAAAGTATAAAGGGTTATAAAATGCCTCATCTTTGTTTTGTGTTACATACCAGTCATGCATAAACAGGCCCAATCCTATTTTCCGTCGTAGCAAATAAAAACAGGGCCAATCCGTTGCCCGATCCATATGGCATAAACTCTCTACGTCAAACCCGCAATTTTGCATTTTTGCCCCCATCGACTAGATCAAAACTCAAAAGGGCAGATTCAGCACAAACTCCCGAGAAGTTAAACCTCGACTGTAAAAATCATGGTTTCCAAGGGACTTATTTTCTTCGTCATTGTGGCCACACTCTCCTTCAATCTCAGGGTAAAAGCTTCACTACTTGTTTTTGTTGTCAAGGGCGTTCTCAAAAGCTTTTATTATTTGGTCAGTTTTTTACTGAAAAAACTAGAGTATTGAACCCATTTTGAACAGGTTGATGCTGATCCATCAGTCCCCAAATCCCCTTTCTCCATTGCTCTCGACACCCTTCAAGATCAACTGAAGTGAGTCCGCTCTCCTCGTGTGGGTGGGTTGTTTAAATTTCTGTAATTTATGGTCAGACCCAATTTCTTTTTGTTATTTGAAATATGAATGCATATGATATCGTTTTGTTTTAATTTGGTTTTTATTTTAGAAATTCGTATGCTACTTTTTTTACAGTAATACTAAGCTACTTAAATACTACCTCTGTTTCCCAAACTAAGTTTCCAGTTTCACTTGTTGAGTCAAACATCATAACTTTGACATTTAATTCAAAACGTATAGTTTGTCAGCAACGTGTTCTTACACTTTTAAAAGGCTTTGTGCTTACAAAATAAATTAGGCCTTCTATAATAATAATATCTATAATTTCAATCTAGAAATATGTTACAAATATTGCGATATGATATTCATATTTTCAAATTGAAAAACTAAGTAGTTTTTGTTTAAATAAAAGAGCTTTTATATACTAGACTATAATTTCAAAAATTAGATCTAAACTCATAGTAGGCTCCCGGATGGGCATGAGCCCAGGTACCCAAAGCCCTTATATGTTTGTTAGCATTTTTATATTTGGCTGGTGTAGCATGATCACTCCTCAAAGCAGATACATCTTGAATTTTGTACTCTTTTTTTTGTCTGATCTCATTGATCTTTTGAGTGTAACTGACTCTTCATACTATATTATGAAACATAAAATTTATCCTGAATGGTAAATCTTATTGGAAGAATTTTGTGTAAATCTTATAAAGTGCATCTTTATATTTGGTTGGTGTGGGATTACTTTACACATAAGCCTATAATTTGGTAAATTAACAAGTCCAAAAAACTTGTTCTGTGAAAACTAAGATTCCAACTTTAATAACTTCAAATCTTGTTTTGTGACAACAAAAACTAGACCCACTAATTTGGCAAATTTATAAGTTAAAACCCAGCATTTTCCTGGGACACAGAAGATTTTATCAAGATATAATCTTGCACCTAGGTTGTACAAAAAGAGGATTGGCCTTGCCTAAATTTGGACACTAAATGCTATGACACTTCTTGCATGCCCTAATAGGCAGCCCTAGGTAGTCGATTCATGTATTATTAAAATAAATTGGAGTACGGCTTTGACTTCAATGTGTAAATCATTTCCGTGTTTTAGCTAAAGGTGCACATTGTTATTGTTTATGTTTGGTTGGTACATACAGCTATACATTTCAGAATGTTGGATTGCTTCGACGTGCTATGACACACTCATCATACTCAGAGGAGAACAACAAAGCTATGAGTATCTTGGGGGAGGGAGTAATCGAGACTTCAGTCTCAATGCAAATGCTGGTAAAAAACATCGATATCTCGTCCAAGGATCTGAACCAGGATATTTCTGAAGTGTCAAAGGTTGAGACTTCATGTGCAGTGGATGGAAAGAGCTTAGGTTTGCAGAACATAGTTCGGGTTTCGTCCAAAACAAATTCCACAACTCCATCTGTCGTCTGTGGTGCTTTCCGTGCACTTTTTGGGGCAGTGGCTTTGGACACTGGCAGTGCAGACAGTGCGGGGAAGTTGTTTTTGAAAGTTCATTTTGAAGATGCTGGGAAAGGTCGGATTGGGCATGTAAGGAATACACTTACCATGATGAGTTAAATGTCTTTATGTGGTAGGCACTATTTTCTTTTGTTTGAAAGGTTGAAGTAGTTTTATACTTCTATATGTATGTTAATGTGAAGGAAGATGGATTAGACACTGATTAGGCTTAGCATATGCGCTCAGCACTTTAATTGTTGTGTAGTAAACTGCTTAACCTGTGATATTCCCTTAGATTGCGTGTTTATATTGCCTTTATGTTGTTATTATTGTTATTATTAGTATAGAGATGAGTTTGCATTCCACTTTTTTTTTATTCATTAGTGCTGCACTTCAATGTTAGAAAAAAATGTTAATAAAGGACGCGATCACGCGAACTCCAATTGGGGATAACAAACAGGTTGTTAAGTTTTCAAATTTGGAGTGAAAATATTAATGATTTTAAAAAAATCAACTCTTTTTTTTCATACAACGAAGGTTAAAAGAAATTATCATAAAAAAGGTTAAAAGAAATCAACTTTTTGACACAGCAGAGTGGAATAAAAACAACTCCATGATTTATGTAAAATGAAAGGATGACACTCCTTCTTGGAGGGTCCCTAGAAGTCTAGAATTGGTCGGACAATTATTTGGGAGGATGTTTGAGCTTACATCTCACTCCGATGAAAAGAGAGTAAATTTTATCCTAAGTTTGAAATTGAATATGAGACTCCCTTGTGGCACCTCTACCTACTAGATGAGCTATAGCCCCAATAACTCCTTGGTTTATGTAATATGAATAAAGGGTGGATGACATATTCTTACATTAATGGCCTTAAAAGATTATAAAATGTTGTTTAAAAAAAGATTATAAAAGGCCTTTTTATTCCAATATTACTAAAATGAATGAAAAAGATAAAAAAATGACTTGTTTTAAAATTTTCCAAAAATGAGACTAAAAGTCATTTATTCCTTACATTTAATTATATATATATATTTTTAAATTCCTTTTATACATTTGTTGCCACCAGCACCTCCGGACCGCGACCCCAGCACCGCCGCCGCCGCCGCCGCCACCGGCACCACCGCCGCCACCGGCACCGCCGCCGCCACCAGTCTCTGTCTCAGTGACTCCGACGAAAGTGACTCCCGCCACAGTGACTCCGTCGCCACAGTGACTCCACCGCCACAGTGACTCGCCGCCACAGTGACTCGCCGCCACAGTGACTCGCCGTTGCACTGACTGCCGCCGCCCCCAGCCAATGACTGCCACTGCCCCGACCAGTGACTGTTGTCCTACATTACACCGAATAATTTTCCGGCGGCCACCCAACCGGCACCGCCAACTACAGTCTCTATAGACTGCCCATTACCTTTGTCCCTCCGGCCTCTCCTAACCTGCGAGCTCATCACTGTCGTTCAACACCATCACCCACCAACATCTATCCCCAACCCCCAATCCGTCACTCCCCCAACCCCCAGCCCATCACCACCGGCACAAATCTTCCCCGACCAACAAATTTTAGCCCCAACCAACAGATCTCAACCCTGCCTTTTTTTTTTTTTATCTCAACCCTGCCCATCACCACTATTGTAACTATAGTCGTCGTTCACCACTGGCGTAACCCTAACCGCAGCTTTCACCTCAGATCTAAAAATATAAGACGAAATCACGGAGAGGATCGGAGCGTATCTGGAGCGCCGATGAACTATGGCTGCCCAATGGAGGTGCGGCCATTGAGGATGACGCCTAGATCTTCGATTTCAGTTGTAGCGATAGTGGTGGAGAAGAAATGAGTAGAAGAAGAGAGTTGTGGCGGGGAGGGCGGCGCCGGCAGGAGAGCGGCGGCGAAGGAGATGGCCGACGGTGATGCAAGCCGCGGTCGACCGAGCTCTCCTTCCGAGCAGATGATGCGAAGCAGATGGCCATCTGCGCTGGAAATCGGAATGGACGTCGAGGTATGCGCTGGGATCTATGCGAAGGTGATGCGTTGGGCTGATGGGCTCTCTCCAAATTTGTCATATTTTTAGAAAATAGAGATAAGGTTATATTTTTAGAATTCAATAGTCTAATTGTAATACGGACACAATTTTTTCATTATAAAATGTACTCCGTATTCCTTTTGTCCCAACATAATTTTGTCATTTGTCGTTTTTGAACGTCCCAATTAAATCTTTTTATTTCTATTGTAAGAATTTATAAACAGTTTTAAAAGAAAAATTAATGATCATATATTAAAATAATACACATATAACACCACATTTATCATCAATTTTATTATGTTATGTAACCATCAAATTACTTATATAACGAAACACGAATATCTCATATAAGCCTGGGCGAAGATAATAAACGATAAAAACAACCTTTTATACCCGGCCCAATATTTGTTTAACATTCAATGCAGATGGAAATATTAGATCTCTTATTTGATGTGCCTATGATTGAACATGTTAAATAAGTAAATTAATGCAGTTTTTATAATTTTATTGTTCATTTTGCTAAATATTGCCGACTTTGATACATACTTCGTATATTATTTTGAAGGCATGTTGCAAGTTTAGCACAGATTGAAAAAACAAATACTCCCTAATATGGAGTAATTAATGCAAATATTTTGTATTCATTTCAATCGCAACATGCCGGATTCAATATACTCCGCAGTAAATTCGCAATTATAAATTTTGTATTCCGATCAAAAGCTCTGTCTATGAATTTCTGTTAAAACCCGTCTCTGTTACATATAGTCCAATGGAAGACAATGGATATTATTCATACGACGATGTGGAAGCGGCAAGCAAGACGGCGGAAATACAATCCCAGAAGCGGCAGCGCCGTCGCGGATTGAGGTGGTGGTATAAGATCCGGGGAATCAGCGCCCTGAAAATGCTCCGTCAATGCAGGACCTTCATTCGCCGGATACAGAGAACCGGAAGCAGGGGGCAGCGAGAAAGTTTCCGGTACGATCCTCAGAGCTACTCGCTGAACTTCGATCAAGGGCCGGGGCAAAACGGCCGGAATTTGGAGTGGGAAAATGAGTACGGCTGCCGGAACTTTTCCGCCAGATACGCGTCGGTTCCGGCATCCGGAATAGTCGCTACTGACCTCGGAAAAGATGGGCCCAGCTTCATGTGAGTGCGCGCCGTTGTTGAGATATCTGCGGCGGCGGTTGTACGTATAGCGCACGACTTGGCTATTGGCATGAAGGGGTCAACGGTTAACTGCACAGTTAGTTAAGCACGATTTACCTTTTCTCATGATAAAATAATACGAAGTTATACAGTAGTTTTGCTTCTTAATTACGTATAAAGTACGGGTTACAATCCCACATTCCCCAAAATTAGCTCTATACTTTGATGATTTGATTGATCGGTTTCACCAATTAGAATAGAGAAGAGACTTTGGCAAGAAAGAGTTGACCGGAGTGTTTTTCAAGGGCATCCTCACCGAGGAATATACTTCCTCTTCCTCCGTCCCGCTATTAACTTCCTGCTTTCCTTTTTGGGCCGTCCCAAAATCATCTTCTCATTTCCCTAAATGGAAAATTATCCTACATCAAAACAGTGTCAAACAGTGCAAAACAGTGTCAAACAGTGTCTTAACAGTGCCAAACAGTGTCTAAACAGTAAAGTCAAATTTATTTCCTAAATATGTGTATAGGTCAAAGTAGGAAGTTAATAGCAGGACGGAGGGTGTATACTCTACTTCGGAGTAGGCAATAGGCTGGTATAAAAATAATTTGGATTAAGTTTTACACAAATTTTACTCACTAATTATTAATTTTTCTCTTTAAACTTGGGGGGCGCAAGGTTTGGCTTGACCCCTACCTCCACCTTTTTTAAGGATAAAAACCATTATAGTGAAAAGAACAAAAAAAAAGGTACTTATGGTTGGGCCCGTTTTCAAAAAGGGTCATGTGTTTCATTCTTTATCAAAGTAGTTTATGTGTTTGAATTCCGTTATCACAACAAGGTCACGCCGTTAAAAACGTCTGAAAAAAGATCGTTAAAAGTAACTCCGATTTTCAAAAGTGCCCGAAAATTCAAAGAAAAATACTGAAAGGTGCGCCTCACCAAGATGACCTCCAAACTACCTCGCCAAGGTGCGCCTCGCCAAGATGACCTCCAAAATACCGAAAGGTGCGCCTCCGATTTTCAGATATGTTTGAATTATTATTTTTAAATGATTTCACTAGTATCACTTTTCCGGTGGACTTTCCGGTGACAAGGGTGGCTGAAAACAAAAAAGGAAAGATGGTGTAGCGGTCGTCTTATTGAGCCACACCTTCCAGTATTTTTGTTTTAATTTTCTAGACACTTTTGAAAATCGGAGTTACTTTTAACGGTCTTTTTCAGACGGTTTTAATGACGTTAATTACCCTCTTGTGATAACGGAATTCAAACACATGAACCACTTTGATAAATACTGAAAAACATGACCCTATCTTAAAACGGGCCCAACCACAAGTACTTTTTTCGTACTTTTCCCAAATGATTATATCTAATAAGTAGTATTTATCAAATCACTAATAAAATGCTTTTGTTCATATGCATAAATGGATGCTCGGTTCCTTAAAACTTTGTTGGGTTTGATACGTACAAGAAAAAATTAAAGTAAAATTTGTATGATTGAAAGTTACGTTGTGTAAACAAAATAAAATTAACAAGAATTACAAATTCTTTAATTAAAATATAAAATGACAAAATTAGTGTGACAACGTAACCGGAAGAAAAAAAACGTAAGTTATACCATAAGTCATTACCAAAAAAAAAAAAAAAAAAAAAACGTAACCGGAAGAAGAAAGTTGATAAAGTTATAAAGGAAAAAGAACCATAAAAAATCAAGAAAGCAATGAGAGTTTTTTCTCCAATACCATTAAAATACCACTAGATAAAAATGTAATTAGATATTACACTAGACTAAGGGCATCCTCATTGGTGACATGGCAGTTTTTTTGGAGAATTATCACTGAGCGATATAAGTTATTTAATGAGATTATTTGCTACAATAATCACACCACTATCGAATATGACAATATTAATTACCACCATCAAATTCGTATGTCGTAAGGTCGGTTAGACGATGAGTACCATGCAGTCAGATAATAATCAATATGCAATCGGCTAATTTAGTGATTCCATTGAAATTTTAACCTACTTAAGAATTCCTTTCCTAATCCAGCTAGGCATCCAGCAACCCCTATTTTAGTCACTAGCTCCATCAAAAAAATAACGGAGCACATTAGCACAAATATAAGTTCATTTAAAGCATCAATCTTGATGGGTCGTCTTTTTATTTATGCGGTTTATGTGAGCAAGCACCTTTATC